CCCAAGGCCACCTGAGAAGCGCAAGACAAATACAGAAAACCTAGCATCAGTGAGACAACAAAAGAAAAATTTGAGATTTAACCAATGTGCCACTGACATAAAAAGGGTCACTTACTGCTATTCTTACTTATATGTTGACTGTATTTTCAAATACTATCTTTATCATCTTAATTTTCGTAAATATTTCATTCATACTAACCGTATTCTCAGTATTATTGTTTTTATTTTAGACATGCTCACTTAAAATATAATTAGATAAGATAGCTGGTTCTATTTTTATTACCTTGCTTTCCCAACATCACAGTGTATTGACACATGGGTATGACCTGGGGTTTTGGACCACTCAGCCGAAAAGAAGTGAACCTTATGTGACTGAACTTGATGATCTTCTAAATATACCATGATTATTATGTAACTGAATATAAATAAATAAAGTCATTACCAAGTGATTTGTGTGTTAGGGGAGGGGGGGGGGAGCTAACGGTCCCAGTGCTTGATTTGCTTTACTGCATATGATGTTAATTTCGTCATCAAGTTTGCTATCTTTAGTGAATGTTGTTCCCAGATATTTAAATGCAGATGCTTGTTCAATGCTTTCGTACTCGACTGTTATATTTAGGTTCTCCTTGTTTCTTCCTACTGGCATTATTTCTGTGTAGTCAGTGTTGGTCAGCATCTGTGGCTTAGGCGTTGCGAGCACGCTTTGTAATGCCGGGGTGCCGGGTTCGATCCAAGCTGCGTTGGTTTTGACAGTGGTATCGAGAAGTCAACTGTCCAGAAAGCAATGGCAAACTACTGAATGTAAAATTTGCCTTAAAAACCACAATAGCCAAAAAATGCTGGGGTGGGTTCTGCAATGTCCTGTAAAGGATATGCAACTAACTTTTATTCAGTGTTGATGTCCATAATATTTGTTTTGCATTCTTTATTTATAGAATGTGAGATGCTGCAACTTTATGGCTGTATTTGCTCTCAAGGCTTGATCTTCAGCAAAGAGTAACTGTTGATTAATAAGTATACATAGTTTAAATTAACCATAGTCAGTTCAAGAAGTTTTGCCCAACTTTAAAAATCAGTAACTGAGCAACTGTTTGGTGTAAGTTGTTGAAATTTGGCATGCAAACTGTTAATAACTCTTTGAGTCCCAAGGAACGCATCATACGTTCATAGATTCCTACCTAGACGCCCAATGAACGCAAGATGCGCCAATCTTACACCTCTTTTGACTACCCCTTGGGCCTGTGATGCTAAACCACCTGGGACTCAAAGAGATAATCAGTCCTTGTATGAAATTTAAAACATAAATGTAAACCAAAACTAGTTTTCATGTGGCCTTTTTTGCAGACACTGATTCAAAAACAAACAATCAGTATGCTTACAGTTAACTGAGTAATGGGAACTTTTCAAAACATCAGATTGCATGCTTTTCATTGGTGTTTCACTCTCATTCAGTCATCTCCAACATTAACCTCCCATTAGTAGTGAATTTTTCATTCTACGTTGAATAGGCTATCAAAATAATTACTATGAACCGCTGCACATGTGAAGTGATTTCCAAACAATCAAGTCAGTTACTGTACATTCTTTTGTTTTGAGAGGTATTCAGATTATTAGTCATGCAAAGATCAAAGAAATTAATCACTCTAAGAACAGCAGCACCAGTGCAATTGTAAATTATAAAACCATAAGGACGTGGGAAATCTAAGGCCACATGCAAACATTCTTGCTGATCTCTTACAGTGATATTTGTGTTTTGATATATTTGTTGAAATATGAGGGCACAACTTTTGAAACATACTATATAATCAGTGCTTCATACTTGAACATAGTAATTGTCTTCAGATTTATGAACATCCGTCAATGTGTTGTTCATAATTTTGGTGCTGTCTTCATTGCCATCGCAGGGACATAGCGTGTATTTGTGGTTCGTTCTGCTATTGATGTTGTCATCACTACTGGTTGTACTGTAGGTTTGCGATCCAGTTCTGTACCCATCACATTTGATTGCTTCTTGAACAAGGGCTCTGCTTGTTCCGGTACTTATCTGACAAACATTAAAACAGGTTACATGGTAAATATAAGCCTATAATATAATTAGTACTTGTCTAATATAATGTGTGAAACGAGAACCACCAAATATATGGAACAAAAGTTAAAGCATCTGAAAATAAATGTGTGAGAAAAATCATGAACATAAAATGGAATGTTTTTTTAATTTTAGGAAGGAGATGAGAGAAATGTCTGGACAAATACCTGTCTAAGACAATAAGACAGTGAATCTGAAGTTTATGTTGGGCACGCTCTGTGATGAAATGGACACAGAATTACAAAATAAGCACTAAAATGGGAAAGAAATTGTCTGAGAAAAAGAGGACGTCCAAAGGAAACATTAAGAAGAATATTATTACAAGAAGCTAAAATTTCTGGACTGGACTCTGTGTCAGAACTCAAGAGAGTTGCATGCAATAGAGCGGAGAGGTGGAATTGAATGCGAGTCCTATGTGATGTCTAATGGCACAAAAAGAAAGATGATAATATACCGTATAATAAACTAGGTTATTTGGTACATGTAAAGTATAATAAACTAGATTATTTGGTATGTGTAAAGTATTATAAAATAGATTATATGGTATATGTAAAGTATAATAAAATAGATTATATGGTATGTGTAAAGTATAATAAACTAGATTATTTGGTATGTGTAAAGTATAATAAAATAGATCATTTGGTAAATAAATCATACAGGGGCAGATATAGACTTGACGAGACTCTCAGCTACATAAATCCCTGAGGCCCCCTACTGTTTTATAGTACATCTGCCAATCTCATCAAACTGTAAAATATATACGTCTTTAAAATATATGGATCCTGGATTTATGTTGCTATGTATTTTATATATAGTAAAGGAAACAATAAAAAATGTTTGCATGAATGTTTTGCAAAATCACAAAAATTATATAATATTAGATTTAATGTCCCAGCCTCACCCGGGATAGTGAAAGAAAATTTTATTCTCATCTTAGTCTCCACCGCTGCTGTATCTGTAGTAAAATAAATATCCATGGAGGAGCGAGCACAATATAAGACTTCCGTTTTTAAGTTTCTCTTGGATGCAGTAGCTTCCTAAATCTGTCAATGTCTCCATTTCAGTGCATACACAGATGGGTCAGTATTTCAAGACAAGCGAAGTGCATGGGCATTCATAGTAAGCTCAAGGGGGAAAACCATCAAGAAGATGAATGGCGCCTTTGCTGTTACAACCAATAGCCTTACAGTGGAAACTATGGCTGTAACAAGGGTTTCAGCATGGCTTGGTACTCAAAAGTTCACACACGTATGTATTATTAGTGACTCGATGAATATGCTTTAAAAAATCTAAGCTGGATTTATCAGGCAAGAATGGATTGCAACACTAAGCATTTCGCGAATAGCTGCCATAACCTTCATCTTTGTGCCAGGTCATGAGGGTGTTCAGGGGAACGAGCGTGAGGACTATCTTGCTGTCACTGCGGTTGCTATGGCTGGCCTAGTACTGGACAGAAGTGATGTTATCACTGCCATGCGCTGCACTTACCGTATTGAGGAGCACGACAGAGGGCATGATTCCGTACCCTGTCTAGACGTTTCATTAACCAACACAGAAAAGGCGTCATTAGTCGTTTTACACTTGTGGAGCTTTTGAGGAGGAGATCGGAGCACCCATGGATCTGTCCGGAGTGCTGCGATGATAATCCGTTGTAATCATTAATCACTAACTTCAGTTCATGCCTGGTGATTCTCTGAGTTTTCGGTAAGAGACGGGTAATAAGAAACTTGTTGAAATCAGATGTGAAAGGCCGAAAGGTGCACATTTGGCAGTTTAGCTACACAATGTGCCAACCGCTTCTTTAGAGCGGACGCAGAAGTATAAGACCCACCTCAGAGTTGTAGTTGAGCAGGCCAAAACTATTGCTGCCTGATGAATGGTTACGGCTGTTGTTAGTTTTACTCTCACCCGCTAGACTCTGCAGCGTCGAGGGATGCTGGAGATGATATTTCCAGGACAGGGAAACATGGCGCCTGGCTGCCTGAAATAGAGTGACAAGACTGTGGCAACAGTTCTATTTCGGATGAGAAATAGAGTGTCGACACTGGCAAAAGTTATGTTTCAGGTGAGAAATAGAGTGACGAGACTTGGCAAAAGGTCTATTTTAGATTAGAAAAAGAGTGATGAGACTGTGACAACGTTCTATTTCAGGTAAGAAAAAGAGTGACGAGACGGTGAATTTTTAAAAAAAAATCTTTTCAGGTAAGACAAAATTCTTTATGAGACTGTAACAAAGGGTATATTTGAGGTGAGAAATTGCATGACGACACTGTTACAAAAGTTATATTTGAGGTGAGAAATAAAGTGACCAGAGTGTAACAAGTTTTGTTTCAGGTGAGAAATAGAGTGACGGGACTAACAAAAGTTATATTTTCAGGTTATCCAACATTGTGTTATCAATGCCAAACTAAGTATTAACAAAAGAGGAAGAGCGAAACTAACAACCTGTGAAATAAGATGTCTGAGAAAAGCAGTCCACATAACAAAAAGAGACCACACAAGAAGCCAAGATATCAGAATGGTGGGAACAAAACCTGTAATTAGTTTAACTGGAAAACAAACACTGAAACGGTTTGGCTATCTAGTCGAAATGAACCCAACATTGCTGATTGTAAGCGCTTAGAACATAATATAAAAACAGCACGAGTCAGAGGAAGGCCAAGAAGTATATGAGTGGGTGGAGTTGACAGCTTGCTGAAACTCAACAATATCACCATGCAGCAAGCTGACGAGAGCCCATTATCTCGAAAATCGAGCATTAACTGTGTCTGCGACGCCAAACAGCATTAGGCAGTGAAAGACAATAGATAGATAATAATTCAGGTGAGACAAAACCTGGAGAATGAAATGTAAGTCTTTGTTTATTACCATCACGTATTTTCATTTAAAAAAGAAACATAAAGAAAGAAACTTATCAAACGAGTTGTAGTTGTACCTGTGAAAAATGTTTGGCTAAAGACCCCTCAAGTCTTCTGCACAAGAACACGCAATCTTTCTTGAACTGCTTAGTGAAGAAGGCGTACAAGAAGGGGTTAGCACAGCTGTTTAATGGCAGGACAAAGATTGTCAGTACCTGAAAATGATTAAATAAATATGTTACAATTACATTTTTTTTAATCACCTGCCTGATAGGCCAATTTTTACAGGTTTAATTTCATATCAACCCACATTTGAATAAATCGACATTCCCATTTCTTCAATGTGCTCCATTGTGTATGTGAGTGGGTGGGGAAAGGGGGTTGGGGGGGAGAGACTTAGCCAACTTCCCCTCTTCCACCCCAAACAAGCATGTCAAAAAAGTCGAATAATTAGCGAAGCGTCTTTTTCGAAGGCTGAGTGCATCTGTTCAAGAAGCAAGAAACCAAAAGTCTGCAAACAATATGCCAAATGCGTAAAACAAATGTGCACGAACCACTAGAACTCTCCACGTGAGTATAAAGCCGGTAAATGTGATACAGAAGAAATAGAACAAAAAGAAGAAGACTGTGGGGGGGGGGGGGGGGGGGTAGCCACTGTCCCTTCCTAATTATGTCACAAAAGGCCAACAATTAAACGTTTTGCTGAAATTTGATGTGTTAGGCAGAAAGGCGCAGATATCGCGGCGTGTTTGCACATCACAACATAGTGTGCCAACTGCCATATTAAGGTATGGGACATTCAAACACAGATCAACACAAAAGGAAGCTTTGCCACTACAAAAAACATATAATCGAGCTCATGTACTCCTATTCTCCTGCCCCCACCCCCGCTAATTTTATTTAATTGTCGAGGCCCCTGCTTCTCAAGAGGACATGTAACTTTTATCTTAGTCATGAACCGCAAAATTACAGCCAAGACATGGTGGGGAAGGGGCGGGGGTTCTTGGAACTGACTTTGTTAGTAACTGTCCTGCTAAATGGCATGTGCTACTTACCTTAGCCGCATTAAGATGGACAAGATTCTTGCCAAACGCTGCAGCCAGTGACAAGACAGCAATTGGAGCCCAGCAAAGAAGGTCTACAAATAAGAAGAAATTTTCAGTTTTTTTAAAAACAATATCTGATTAAAACCAGGGAGTCGCCACGCTCGGGTGCGGATCGGAAGGTCGTTTGTTCGCTCCCTGGCGGAGCCGGACTTTTTCAATAAGTGGGTACCAGGTGCAGTCCCGGGAAGTGAAGGCAGCCGGCGTGATGCTGACCACATCACCCATCTTGTGCCGATCGGTTTATTAAAATATAGGTCTAGCCCTATATGCCCTATACGCCCAAAGGCATGGAAAAGGGACCTTTACTTACTTACTTATTCAAATCAACTAATGTTATTTAAAATTTAACACATCTTTTAACAAAGCTGGAGACCCACTTAAGACACTGAGCTAAAGTACAGTGCAATCGAAAACACAAATACCTGAGGAAATTGGCGAACATTTACGATCGTAAATGTTGTGATTTCAAGACTTCTTCTTCAGGTGCCTTGCCGACTGGCGTGGGTGATCATGCCTCTCCATAATCTGCGATCTCCTGCAGCATGTATCAGTTCATGTGCCGACACACCCCTATGCCATGCAACAAGACTGTCAAGCATCTTCTCTGGTTGTCTTCCTCTATCCCTCCTTCCACAGATCTTTCCAGTGGTCACAACATGTTCTATTTTCCTTCTTCTCATAACATGGCCGAAACATAATGACTGTCTCCTTCTGGTGTCTGTGATTAGTTGTCTTCGGGCTCCCTCCTCTTTCAAAACCTCTTGGTTGCTCTTTTTGGCTGTCCAATGTATTCTAAGCAGTCTTCTGTAAAACCACGTTTCTGAGGCCTCTAGAAATTGTTTGGCCTGCCTACCGACTGTCCAGGATCATCAATTGAACAACAAATAAGACGCAATATATTGGGTACTTCGGGACCAAAAAATAGAGAACCACCAAACAAGCAATGAAATGGGAAACAAAAAGACACGAAAAGAGGACGTCAAAGAGCAGGGCTAATATATTATCTTAAGCTGAAAACGGGACACCCCATAAATATTTTGAGCTGAAAACGGGACATTCAATTATTATTATTTTGTGCCGAAAACGAGACATCCTGTTAATATTTTGAGTTAAAAACGGGATATAGCAATCGAAACAATATGCTCTTTAGCTGGGTGGAGTGGGGGGGGGGGGGGGGGAGCTAACGCTACAATGAAAATGTCCATCAACACATTTCAGGCTTTGAAAGTATCCAAAACAATCAAATCTAATAAGGGCTACATATACAACAATAACTGTATGTTCTATTCTCGAGCTCAATGCTAGACTTTTTTTAAGGGGGGTGGGGGGGGGGGGGCTGCGTGGCCCCGAGGCATGGTGTCCGCCTCGAGTGCTAGAGGTTCCGGGTTCAATCCCCGGTAAAGGCTGGAATTTTTTCACATGGACTTGGATTTCTAGTAGTTCCTCTTGGTCTCTGGGTAGTGAGATCAGACGCCCATGTGCATTGTTGCGCACGTAAAAAAAAAATCCCTTGGCAGCTGGAAATCGAAAACAGCAGCCTAAAGGTGCTGCATGGGCAAACATTTGAAGTAAAAAATTTACCCCAAGTATTTCAAGATCCTCGCCGGTGCTACAGAGCCTGTGCACTGTGCTGAGCTTCTTTGGACTCAGACTTGAGTTAGAAGAAGAACAGAGCACTTATGGATTACTACCCGTGTGCCATGATGTTGGTCCGTTGCTCAAACCTCAAACATGGTAAAAGTGGACAATTGACATTTTCCCTGGAGTGCTGCAGGGATAACCAGGACACGTCTAAAAAAGGGAGACTGTCCCAGAGAAAACGGGACTTTTGATCACCCTATCCATGAGACACCCTCAGGCTAACAGTTTTTGAGAACGGCGAAGGGCTCAGGACTAAATTCAGTCTATGTTGTCAGGGGTATTGCATGAAATAGATCGCAATGGAGTAGACCACGAGTCCTACATGTTGTATAATGAATGACACGACAAGATCATGGTTATAAACCACTTCTGCCGTTAAGCGCCCTGCGGAGGAACAATTTGCGATCCAGTGCATGCTGATTGGCACTGGCTATTGTCATCCCGTAAAAACGTAAAATGTCTCTAATGTTGTCGATCCATTATTCGTGGCCATCCTCTTGCTCTTGTAGCCGATTTTCTGTGTTAAAGAGCCCGTGAAGGTATTTGATGTTACTGCATTCTAAAGAGATGGTCTAACAAATTTGATCTGCTGTTTCTCGGTGAATCAAGTACAAAATGTGGTTCCTACAATATGTCCGATGGCATCATTATTTATTCGATTTCGGAAGGTTAGGTTGGCATCACAGGGCCGTGGCGATTTGGTAGCGAAATCCTCAGAACGTCTCATAGTATAGGAGGGGGTAGGGGTTAGGCTTAGGTTTAGCAGTAGTCTCTTTTCATTTAACACCAGTCTTAACTAGGAATGTACCGAATATTCGCTTCGTATTCGCTTAGGGGCCGAATAGTGGACCTATTGACTATTCGGTATTCGGTCGAATTGTTGCAGTCGGGCCGAATACGAATAGTACTTACCTTACACCCGCTTCTGCATACACGGCCTTAATACTGACAACATGGAATGATTGGTTTTGTTGAAAGTGAATGCAGCTTTCATGCATTAACTAAGCTGTCAGTGACAATTTCCAAGTTCAATTACTTGTTGGATTTGCTTAGGATTCTTTCATTTCTAGTTATTAGTTACCACAGACTGACTGAAGGATGCAAAACATAAAGTGTTTTTTTAAATGTTTACTATTCTGTACGAATACTAACTAGACACGGAAAGAATATAAACTCCGACCACATCCAAGTCGATAATATGAAAATCAAACGAACAGAAACATATAAGTACTTGGGTGCAAACTTTAAATGCTCCAACATGCTGAGAGAAGGAAACAAATCTAGAATACAATCTAGAAATAAAGTATGCTATTCCCTTTAACATCTACTAAAGTCAAAGTGTCTGTCTCGCATCACCAAGATCAAAATATATAAAACATTGATAAGACCAGTCGTTTTATTTGGCTCTGACACTTGAAGCAGAAAGAAAAGAGATGAAGCCTTATTATAGGTTTTCGAAAACATCTTTACGACAAATCTTTGGACCCATCAAAGATGCTAACAGCCGGGAATGGAGAATGAGAAGCAACAACGAAACATAATCTGTTGAAATCACCATTGATCACTGGCATTATGAGAGCTAACAGAATAAAATGGTTGTGGTGAAAGAATGTCAGAAGAGAGAGAAGTAAAAACTGTATACACATGAGAAAGGAATGGGCGTAGACCATGAGGCAGACAAAAAGAAGTTCGAGAGATAATGTCCAGCCAGACCTGCAAACAACTGCTGTCACAAATTGTGAAGAGAAGGCCAGCCAGAGAGATGAATGGAGACGAGTGATATCTGCAGCAGCAAACCTCAAGGGCTCAGAATGCTAAAGAAGAAGATGACTATTCTGTGCTACTTTATTTGAAATAAAAGTTCAGCATACAATTGACATTATGAATCTGCGCATTTTTTTTTTTTTTTTTTTTTAGATATATTTTATACACTATACACTATTCGTATTCGGCCGAATTGTTGGTCCCGTTATTCTTATCAGCCGAATAGTGAAAATCACTATTCGGTACAGCCCTAGTCCTAACCCTACTCTAGCCAAGGCAATTTTACATTCAGTCGTTTGTCACTGCTCCCACTATTACTGTTAAAAGCGGTTTGCTGCCCATTCATCTGCAGTTTGAATCGAACAGGATATTGCGAAATTGCGAAGCGCGTTTGCAGCGTCAAAGCCACACACGCTTTGTTTGCATAAAACTAAACTAAAAACACATGCTTATATCAAATGCAACACTCTTTTCATTCCGAATCTGTCCCAAAATTATATTTGTTGTTTTATTTCAATGACCTATCTGTTGACACCTAAAGGCGACATATGTAGATAACACAAACAATATAGTACACACAGCAACATACGTACACATATAAAATTAGCTCATAATAAACAAGTGTACAAAATACCTGTAAACACCAAGAGTGCCATTCTCTTGGCCACCCGGGTGTCATTGGAATTCCAGGTCTGGCTGCGTCTGATGCTAATGTACATGATCAAGTAACAGCTCATAATGATAAAGAATGCGATTCCATTGAAGACTAGCAGAAAGCACACATAACCTGTGGTTGGATAAGTCAAGCAGATTATGATGAGACTTGAGGGGAAAAAAAAAAACTTTTCAAGACCAGCAAGAACAAAGTTCACATACACACACGCTAACACACATGTATACACTAGACAATTTTCAAAAATAAATGTGGTCATCAGCGACATGGTCGCCCATTGGCTGGCCGGTCGGGACAGTTTTTGGGTCTGTCTCTCCTGATCGCATCAACACTGCAAAAGTTCTTTGGGGGATTGGGGGGGGGGGGGGGTGAACAACAATGCTGAACACTGGAAAACGTTATCAAAGGAATAAGACTTAATAAGGCTTAGATATGTTTGCAGAATGAATCCCAACACTTTGGCAATGATAGTTTTTTAATGGACGGTAGACGGCAACGTAAACTGTGGGGACTTGAGGACTCCTAGAGAAAGACAGCAGAACGGGAAATGTCGAAATGTAAAATGACATGGGATACAATCAGCAGAAAAACAGCAAATGGCAAATGTCCTGATGATATCTATTTGATCTTGATGGTAAGTGTTTGATCTTGATGATATCCGTTTGGTCTTGATGATATCTGATTGGTCTTGATGATATCTGTTTGGTCTTGATGATATCTGTTTGGTCTTGATGATATCTGTTTGGTCTTGATGATATCTGTTTTATCTTGATGATATCTGTTTGGTCTTGATGATATTTTTTTGGTCTTGATGATATCTGTTTGGTCTTGATGATATCTGTTTGGTCTTGGTGATATCTGTTTGATCTTGATGATATCTGTTTGGTCTTGGTGATATTTGTTTGGTCTTGATGATATCTGTTTGGTCTTGATGATATTTGTTTGATCTTGATGATATCTGTTTGGTCTTGTTGTATGTTGGATCTGATGTTGGGCAAGGCACAACAGAGACCACTCTCCACATCAAGCTGGCAATGCTATTTTTTGTTTGTTTTCATGACTGTTAAATCTGACAACCAGGATTAGGTCAAGAAGAAATGCACTCAGTTTCTATACTGCATGAATGCCCTACATTCTACAAATACAGCATGGGATTTCAGGGCCATTATTGTCATTGTTTACCTTTTTCTTAAAAATAACATCCATCCTAGTGTGGGACGCAATGTTTTGTTATTTTAAGGCCCCACCCTAGCTTTAGTCGGGGGGCCCTAATATAACCCTACGGGTTGAACAGGTTTCTGGGACTTGCCGGGGTGATCCTCATCCGAACAGTGGCGCTTTGTGTCACCGGGTGTTGGTCGCTCGTTGTATGGTCCTGGTTGGATTGAATGACACACAGACATTTGCAAGTCCTGCTTCGTCTCAGACGACGATGTCTTAACCTTTTCTCAATGATGTTTCCCTGTATTCTAATTGTCTCACTCCCCACTCGCCTACATGGCACAGGGCCCGTGTCATTCTCTCCCCACTCGCCTACATGGCACAGGGCCCGTGTCATTCTCTCCCCTACATGGCACAGGGCCCGTGTCATTCTCTCCCCACTCCCCTATATGGCACAGGGCCCGTGCCATTCTCTCCCCACTCCCCTACATGGCACAGGGCCCGTGTCATTCTCTCCCCACTCCCCTACATGGCACAGGGCCCGTGTCATTCTCTTCCCACGACTCCACATCAATTTCTCTATCGTTCGCGGCCCACTTGCACACGTCTTCTCATACTGATTTTGGGTAAAGGGACTTTAATTTACTGTTGTTTTCTGTATGTGCGTGAGCTGAATTTCATGTGGGAAAAATTTTAACAGCAAACTCAATACTCACTTTTGGAAATGGGATCCTCTATCTCAAATGGCAGACATACAGCAAACTTTCTGTAATCACTAATACCAAAAAGTGGTAGTATCGCTAAGCCAAAACTCCAGATCCAGCCAAATAGCATGACAAAACCTGGATGTACAAGCACTTGTTGAAAATCTCAACTTACATTTATAACCATTAAAAAATATATATATATATATATATAATCCGTCGTAGTCTAGAGGCTAGACGCTTTCCTGCGGAAGGTCGTGGGTTCGGTTCCTGATAGGGACCAGACATTTTTCAAAAATTACCTTGGCTTCCAGCCTTGAGTAGGTACCAGGTGCAGTCGTGGGAAGTAAAGGCGACCGGCGTAATGCTGTCCACACCACCTACCATGTGCCGTTTGGTCTATAAAATATAGGTCTAGCCATAAATACCCAATGCGCCTGAAAGGATTGATACAAAGTCCTTTACATTTTACTTTATAAGATTGACATCGCAGTTATTATTGGACCGCCAAACTAAGGGCTAATAACGAAAAGAATATGTTAATAAAAGGGGAAAAGAGGGAAAGGGGGGGGGGGGTAGGGGAACACACCGTACTTCGAGGCAACCAAGTGCTTGGCTTGCTTTGGAAGGGAAAAAAATCGTCACGTTTAATCAGCATCACTTAACGGGAGCTGTAGGTTATAATTGTGACCAGGCTATTACGGCCACATAAAATAGCTTAGCATTGCTAAGTAGCTTTGAGAAGAGCTCTTTCAGTGTTAATGCAATCACAGGAGACAGACCCAAATACTGAACCGACTGACGACGAAATCGTCTACTGGCGAGTCACCTAGCAATCCGCTCGCGGATGTTAAAGAAAATAGTGAGGGGACTAAACTCTCTTGCACATTTTCTGGAAGGTGGGAAGGGATGGCGCAAGGTACCTCAGCATATGTTGCTGATGATGTGATGATGATGATATATTGCTGATGATGTGATCATGATGGTATGTTGCTGATGATGTGATGATGATGATATGTTGCTGATGATGTGATGATGATGATATGTTGCTGGTGATGTGATGATGATGATATGTTGCTAATGAAGTGATGATGGTATGTTGCTAATGATGTAATGATGATATGTTGCTGATGATGTGATGATGATATGTTTCTGATGATGTGATAATGATGATGATATGTTGCTGATGATGTGATGATGATGATGATATGTTGCCGATGATGTGATGATGATGATGATGATATGTTGCTGATGATGTGATGATAGTGTGTTGCTGATGATGTGATGATGATATATTGCTGATGATGTGATGATGATATATTGCTGATGATGTGATGTTGATATATTGCTGATGATGTGATGAGGATATGTTAATGATGATGTGATGATGATATGTTGCTGATGATGTGATGATGATGTGTTGCTAATGATGTGATGATGATGATGATATGTTGCTGATGATGTGATGATGATGATGATGATATGTTGCTGATGATGTGATGATGGTGTGTTGCTGAGGATGTGATGATGATATGTTGCTGATGATGTGATGATAATAATATATTGCTGATATTGTGATGATAATAATATATTGCTGATGATGTGATGATTATATATTGCTGATGATGTGATGATGATATGTTGCTGATGATTTGATGATGATGATGATATATTGCTGATGATGATGGTATGTTGCTGATGATGTGATGATGATGGTATGTTGCTGATGATGTGATGATGATGATATGTTGCTGATGATGTGATGATGTTGATATGTTGCTAATGAAGTGATGATCATGATGGTATGTTGCTGATGATGTGATGATGATGATTTGTTGCTGATGAGGTGACGATGATGATAATATGTTGCTGATGATGTGATAATGATGACACATTGCTGATTATGTGATAATGATGACATATTGCTGATGATGACAATGATGATGAAATGCTGATGATGATGTGATGATGATGACATGCTGCTGCTGATGACCATGATGATAAAATGCTGCTGGTGATGACGATGATGATGATATTTTGGCTGATGGTGCGATGATGATATGTTGCTGATGATGTGATGATGATATGTTGCTGATGATGTGATGATGATGATATGTTGCTGATGATGTGATGATGATATGTTGCTGATGATGTGATGATGATATGTTGCTAATGATGTAATGATGATATGCTGCTGATGATGTGATGATGATATATTGCTGATGATGTGATGATGATGATTATATGTTGCTGATGATGTGATGATGATGATGATATGTTGCCGATGATGTGATGATGATGATGATATGTTGCTGATGATAGTGTGTTGCTGATGATGTGATGATGATATATTGCTGATGATGTGATGATGATATATTGCTGATGATGTGATGTTGATATATTGCTGATGATGTGATGATGATATGTTGATGATGATGTGATGATGATATGTTGCTGATGATGTGATGATGATATGTTGCTAATAATGTGATGATGATGATGATATGTTGCTGATTATGTGATGATGATGATATGTTGCTGATGATGTGATGATGGTGTGTTGCTGATGATGTGATGATGATATATTGCTGATGATGTGATGATATGTTGCTGATGATGTGATGATAATAATATATTGCTGATGATGTGATGATAATAATATATTGCTGATGATGTGATGATGATATATTGCTGATGATGTGATGATGATATATTGCTGATGGTGTGATGATGATGATAATGATATGTTGCTGATGATGCGATGATGTGATGATGATATGTTGCTGATGATGTGATGATGATATATTACTGATGATGTGATGATGATATGTTGATGATGATGGTATGCTGCTGATGATGTGATGATGATGGTATGTTGCTGATGATGTTATGTCGCTGATGATGTGATGATGATGGTATGTTGCCGATGATGTGATGATGATATGTTGCTGATGATGTGATGATGATATATTGCTGATGATGTGTTGATGATATGTTGCTGATGATGTGATGATGATGGTATGCTGCTGATGATGGTATGTTGCTGATGATTTTTATATCGCTGATGATGTGATGATGATGGTATGTTGCTGATGATGTGATGATGATGGTATGTTGCTGATAATGTGATGTTGAAGATTTACATATATTTTCTTACCTGCACATTTTAGCGACAGTCTTTTGTTGAGCTGCATGGCGTGGGTAATGGCATAGAACCTCTCAAGTGTGATAACTGTCAAGGTAAACACACTCAACTCACTGGATAGCACACCTAGGGTTCCCGCCACAATACATCCGGTACTTCTTTGCCACTTGACGCCATATTTCCGGAAATGACCTTGAAAATTAAAGCATGAGATAATAGAAAACCAGTTTGAAAACAACTATCGTTTTTTTTTTTTTAAAGGACTGTTGGCTCTTTGAAGTGTGATTTACAGCTGGGCTGCGATTTTTGCGATTAGCAGTTTAACACATCGGACTCAGGCAAATTGCAAATTTCAAATTAGCTCCCCCCCCCCCCCCCCCCCCCTTTCCCCCACTCAGGAGAATATCAGAGCATCTAATGGAAATGTTCGGAGTGCTGTTTTCCATTATGGGAAAAACAAGAAAAGACCCACTGCTTGCCCAAAAGCATGCGCTAATTGGGAGCTTCCTTCGAAGTCGTACATCTGCCTGAGAGGCAAAGAACCAACAATCTGCATGCAAAAAAACTCAGACCTGTGAAACGGATGTACACGCGACACTCAGTTTCTGAAACAGGACTAGAATCCAAAAGTGGACGAACAACCAGAACCTTTCCGCCAGAGTTTACAGCCGGCGAACGCGAGGAAGAAAAAGAAGTTCGGAGTGATGTGATGATAATCCTAATTGATAACTAATCATTAATTAGTCGCCTTTACGACATGCTTATTATGAACAGTAGGCGTTTAACCCTGTCCCCCTTTCCCCCCTGGTGGCGTTTCAGAACCCACACGGGGAAGAAAGCAAATAATTGTTAGTATCATATTATAGATATTGTTCATTACAGGGACCTTGTGTTTGCACATCGGCCGTACCGATATTCTCCCAAGTAGGTTTCTGAGATTACTTAACACTGACGACTCCCGTTCTGTATTGGCTGATGTAGCGAATAAAGGCTCTTGCGTGGTTTTTGAGTAAGTCGTGCTGCTTCGATAGAAATACCAGACTCCACATACAAGTGAGGGAGAAATCATGCCAAGCGAATATATACTATCTGGTCTAGAGAAAGTCTTAAAACTTAACTCAATGGATTTTGTTAACTTAAGGAGGCAGTGAAATGCATTCAAAAAACACCATTGCAGACAAACACAGGTTTCTTCCTCTTCTTGGCATTCACCGGCTGCAAACTCCAGCGGAAAGTTCTGTCCGTTTATCCATCTTCCGACTTTAGTCATATTACAGAACCTGAGTTTTTGCGAGCGCATCCATTTTACAAATCTGAATTATTTCTTTGCAGACTGTTGGTTCCTTGCCTCTCATGTAGATGTACTCCAGCTGGCCAACTTCTTGTTGGGGAGGCAGTCTGTTTCAAGTCTATGCATATGAAACACGGACAGAAGGCAGGTAAGCCGAAAAGTACCTTTTCATAGCAGAGATGTTTGTTTCTGAAATGACGACAAAGAATTTCATGAACTGGTATAAAAATTAACGAGGCTGTCCTCTTGAAAAAATAAAAATAAATCCACAGTACTTTAAAATTCTTACCAAAAGTTGAAGCATCCATAGTAGCTAGTATTCCTAAATAAATGCCCATGAAAAAGTCGGCAACAGCCAAGTTACAGATCAGAAAGCGAGTCACGTCCATCTTGGATTTGCTGGTAACTGACACGAAGAAGACAGCACCGTTGCCCAGCAGTGCCAGCATGAAGACTAACCAGATACCACAACGTAGGGACCACCAGTCAAACAGGTCGTCGCATGGCTGAAATGGACCTTCACAGAAATCATGCAAATACTGAAGGACAAGGGTCATGACGAATGTGTAAATCCTTATCATCCTTATCATCATCAATTTCTTTATTTTTTTTTCCTTAAGCGTTTAAAGAAAAAAAAGGAGGGGGGGGGGGGCAGGGTGATGTTGGCGTGGGGGGGGGGGGGGGAGTTTACGATTCATTGCTTGATGGTTAGCAATGGCTACTATCATTCTGTATCGATGTAGAAGGTCTACAAGGACATTAATCCATCATCTCCTAGGGTGATCTGTGTGCTTTCACGTCAGATCTTTTCATGTGTAGCGACAGAGTTGGTAGTAGCTAGTTGGTAGTATATATATGTATATGTGTGTCTAAATATATATATATATATATATATATATATATATATATATATATATATATATATATACTGAGAGAGGGATATATATAGAGAGAGAACAATCGGTGGTTGATGTCTTCACATCACACTAGCCTTTACTTCCACAGACATTACATAGTGCTTATTTTAGGCTAAATCAATTCTAAATAAAAAAAATAGATCGGACAGGGTGCAGATTAGAACTCATGACCTTCGGACTGGTAGGCGACTGTCTAGCCCTAGGCTACTGCGGCTAGTGTGGGTAAAGATACAGTGAATACAGTCTCTGGGTCACATAGGCGTGTTAGGAAACGAACAGGTTGACATACTGGCTGGTTCTGTACCACTCAGTGGTAAATTTGTGCTTGACAAGCTAAACATCAAAACCTTTTGGGACCAAGCGAACAGTGCGAAGGCAGAATAGTTAGATCATCACGGTCCGATGGTACCAGTAACTGTCTGATTGTAAATCCGTCTCGTCTTTTCATTGAGTGTTCAGCGTCGGCCAGATCCCTTGGTAACTCCTCGCAGCGACATTCTCCCCAGACCGTAATGATCTATCTGTGCTTCCGACCTGTTCACTCGATCTCAAAAGGCCCTCAAAATATTTAGCTTGACATACATCAGTTCACCCCCCCCCCCCCAAGTGGTGCAGAACCAGCCAGTCTGTCTACCTGTTTATTTCCCAACACATCGGCGTGACTTGGTGGACACTCTCACGAATAAAGGAATAAGTCAGGAACTGAATTTACTACTCCTACCTATCCTGCCTCCTTAGTCAGAAGCTGCAGCCTGATTAAAATCCACCTGTGTTTTACCCTCAGTTGTAAATATCACCTAGCTGGACTCCACTTACCTCCGCTTAAATGAGCCTTTAGAGATACGAATACTCTGACTTCTGCTGAACTGTCTGCTTGATCCCCGAGAGCCTTCATCACATCCGTTTTATCATAAAGTAGCTCGTCACTCAGAGGCGTGGCAGCAATCAATATACCCCTGCTTTCTACCTGGCACATCACCATGATATGCCTCCAATGAGAGTATTATTACGTGACACAAGCCGCTCTAAGCGTAGGATACCAGTCCCCTTTTTTCTCCTTCTCCTCGAAGCAAGATCTACAAGTCCGTATTAATTTTAACATGTTATACAACTACAACAGACAGTGACTATTTCAAACCAAAAATAACGATTGTTTTAACACTTTCTTTACACGTGCAAGACTGATATGGCATGCCAGGGACGCACTTGGTGCAGCAGTTATGGGAAACCTCATGTCTTTCTAGGCAGGTGAAAATAGTACTAGGGATTTACCTCTTGCACTGCAACCCCAGACGATAAACTCTTTGGATCACTGGGTTTTTAATGGTGTTGTGGGGGGGGGGAGGGGGGAGGAGACAGACAGGCTAACAAATGCTTTCTTTTGCGGGAACCTCACCTGGCAAAGGCTTGCAAGAAATACCAGATTTGGAAATCGTAAACTTGAGTTTACTGGAAGCGCGATTGTGATAATCTGCCAGATGCGTGTTTCCGGCGGTATCCATTTGGTACTTAGTCGTCTCAAGGCTATGTGGAAACAAGCTTTCTAAAACACCAACGCTATCTTGAGATATGCTCTCCCAGTGGTCAGTGTCTATAGTAATGTTTTCTGAAAAAGACAACATATAATTATGAGCATGGCTTCTTCGTTTAATAGCGGTCACTGTCAGTTAATTTGTGTGAGTGTTGTATTTTGTATCTCGACGTGTTGTTAAAGTGATGAAGACTAACCGCCATGGTTACCAATATTGGGGTCCCCCCCTCTCCCCCCCCCCCCCCCAAGATCTGGGTTGTATTTTTTGACGCTTTGGTAAGATGTCACATTTTATACAGTTTCAATTTTGTAAAAACCTAGCATTCAGTTCCAAGAACTGAAATTATGGTAGGGAATTATTACCCAGCATTCAAGTAGAGATGATCTTTTTCAATGTTTAACAGAGAACCTAACTGCGTTTTACCCATTTGCAAAAAAGGCTGCGATATTTGCCTATTTCCACAGAATACATCCGACTTCTTCAGACCTATGTTGTCCGAGATAGTCTTCCCGGTAATGATATTTTTACTACCTGTGGTGATGTTTCTACCAGTAAAGTTTGTATAGTGAATTATTATTAATGAACATGCAGACAGAGATGTAAAAATGATATTACTACGTGTTGTAGTGATGTTTCTTCAGTAAAGTTTGGATAGTGAATTATTATTAATGAACATGCAGACAGAAATGTAATAATGATATGACTACATGTGGTGATGTTTCTAACAGTAACATTTGGATAGTGAATTATTATTAATAAACATGCAGACAGAGATGTAAAAATGAAATTACTACATGTAATAGTGATGTTTCTACAGTAAAGTTGGGGTAGAGAATTATTACTAATGAACATGCAGACAGAAATGTAAATATAATATGACTACATGTGGTGATGTTTCTAACAGTAACATTTGGATAGTGAATTATTATTAATGAACATGCAGACAGAGATGTAAAAATGATACTGCTACATGTAATAGTGATGTTTCTACAGTAAAGTTGGGGTAGTGAATTATTATTAATGAACATGCAGACAAAAATGTAATAATGATATGACGATCTGTAGTGTAGTGATGGGTTGAAAATTACAGCTTGTTGCACAGTTTTTAACACTTAATTTTGGATAGTGAAATTATTCATGTGAGGACAAATGTGATTAATGATCTTACTTTATGTCGTGTAGCCCCTTAAACCAGTGATGTTTTAATGCTGTTATTACCTGTAGTGAAGTTTCTTAACATTAACGTTTGGGTAATGAATTTTTAAAATGAAGTTACAGCCCATGATAGAGTAATGATATTATTAAACGTGGTGTAGTGATGTAATAATGCTGTTATTACCTGTAGTTAAGTTTCTTAACATTAACGTTTGGGTAGTGAATTATTATTAATGAAAATATAAACAGTGATGCATTAATGATATATTTAACGTAATGTCTTGGGGTATTAATGCTGCTACTACATAGTGAAATACCTACAATTAAAGTTTAGATAGCGAATTGTTAATGAAATAATACGGTGATGTATAAATGATTCAGACAAGGACATAAAGTTCTGTGTTTATTCTTGTTTGGTCTGGAAAGATGTCACAGTTTATGCATTTTCCTACACATAGTATGGTGATGCATCAGTTACATCACTACATGTACGCGTTAGTGAAGTTTTTTTTAACTAAACTCTTGGTGGCGAAATATGGTATTAACGAAAGGCTGTGGTGCATTGAAGCTATCACTAACCCTCGGTAAAGTTTCTAATAAATAACTGACACCACACGTCGTGCTGGCGATGATGATGATGACTATAATTATGATAAAGATGATGATAATGATGATGATGATGGTGGTGATAATTTAGTGATAATGATGATCACAAAGGTGTTGATTATGATTAGGCAAAAACTAGACGAAAGGTGAGAGGGATGGTATAAATGACCCCATACTTACCTTCCATTGAATGGACACAAGTGAAAAGATATCTTGCAAAACATATGCAATAATTGCAAGGACGTTTAGAAGCAAAAAAAAAAAAAAAAAATCTATAGATTACTTTACAGTTAAAAAAAAGACGTTTTTTTGTTTTTTGGGTATATATTAAATATAGATAACTTTACGAGGAAAACAAACGTCTTACATATAATTTATGAAGATAACTTTACAGTGAAAATAAAATGACATCAGTCTAACATATTAATTTTTTTTTAGATAGCTCTACGATGGAAACAAGCTAAACACAAGCTTTCATAAAATGTTTGTAGTTAACTTGCCACTGAAAACACAATGAAATCAATCCTAATTATGTAGATAATTTAAGGGGGTGGGGGGGGGGGGGGGGCTTTGCACATAAATCTTATAAACAGCTTTGCAGTTAAAAAAAATTTTTAAAAAACATATTAGCATCAGTACATGTTAGAATCAAATAGAGTAAACAACAATTTGTTTTAAGATGAAAACTTGGTTAACATAACACAAGTTTGGTCCAAGCATGGATACATTATAGTTATTGGTCCTCGGATAGCATACATTTGTTTTAACAAGAACTCGATCTTCGGTCCTTTGGAATTTATGTTAACGACGTTTTACTGAAATATGTCGAAATACTCCCATTAGCGCTGCGTCCCCGTCTCCAGCAACATGCGAAAAGTTCCAATTCCAATGGTGCCAGTAATTGTCTGATTGTACTTCCGTCTTGCCTTTCCCTTGAATGTTGAGCGTTGGCAAGATCTGCTGGTAACTCCCGGCATCGTCATTCTACTCAGACGATAATGATCTATCTATGCCTCCGCACTGTTCACTCGCTCCCAAAGGGTCATTACAACATCCAGCTTGTCATTCATCTACTCAGCAACAGGTGGTTCAGAGCCAGCCAGTCTACTGCCTGCTCGTTTCACAACACATCGGCATCACCTGGAGAAAATATCCAAAGGACGCTAACTCCCCAGGACCCCTAAAGCGATGCTTGCCACTCTGCACGGAACTTGCCTGTCTCCACCTTTCACAACATACTCTTTTTTCTGAATTAAATTATTATCAAATGAACAGTTTTGTATTTCATGTAGAATATACAGAGTTACTCTCCGGTAATTTAAATTCCCATCCCGCATTTCTCAAGGTATTTCAATTATGTTGCCTGCTATTAATGTACTTATTAGATTGTTAATATTACTGGATTTAGATTTAAGTTGACTTTCACATATTCAAGAATAGACATCACAACACTCGGGACATTACCATACCTGCTCCGTCCTCATCGTCAGCAGCCAGCGCAAAGTTCCAATTTGTAATTTATTACCATACTAATAACCTTGGCTCCTAAGTAGACCCAGCCTTGAGTGGGTATTAGGTGCAGTCATGGGAAGTAAAAGCGGCAGGCGTGGGGCTGTCCGCATATATAAAATGAAGGTCTAGCACTATATGCCCAATGCACCTGAAAGGCGGGGTAAAGGGTCCTATACTTTACTTACTTTTACTATAATAATATTTTTTTTTAAATTTCGTAATGTAAGTATAGTTAAAAAAAAATAAACACACACACACACACATTCCAGCGTTTGTAATTAAGACCTAGATGTCGCTGAAAATTACCAATGAACTTATGTAGGAAGGAGTGGCTATATGCCAGGAATAGGACTGGAAGGTAAAGGTAAAGTCGGGAGATGTGAACCAACGTCATTGCACGTGGTTTTAAACAAAAATTGCTCTGCCACCAGTACGGACAGCTGATAAGAAACTGTCCTCCTGAGTCGCCGTCCGCACGCAACCACGTAGCTACAGCGACGTTCCTCCGTTTACCCCAGAGTGTTTACTCTGGTACCCATTTCCTAGAGGCTGGGTGAACCCCAAGAACCGCACGGTTTCGAACAGCTGCGAGTCGCAGCTGGATTTAAAAGCGAGTCTCCATTAGACTGCGCTAACGCGATCCCTAGAGACTGGAAGGGTAATATGTTATTCTGGCCTGCGTGGCCAATTCTTAACCATTTGAAAATAAAGTTTGTTTGTCCGTTTGTTCCACTCCTGCGAGTATAGCACTGAGAAGTTGCGGCTCTCTCTTCTGCCTTTCTATCCCCCAATGGAGCATAGGCCCTCAACCAACTCACGCCAAGTCGTTCTATCCTTCGCCATTGCATGGAGCTCTCCCCATGTCCTCCCCATCTTTCTAACCTCGTTCTCTAGCTCTCTTCTCCATGTGTTTTTGGCATTCCTTTATTCCTATGCCCCTGTGGGTTCCAATGCAAAGACATTCTAGTTATGCTGTTCTCCTGTTTTCTCAGTGTGTGCCCTATCCAACGCCAGCGTCTTTTCCTTACTTCCTGATCCACTGGAGCCTGTTTAGTTCTCTCCCAAAGTTCTACATTAGTTATTCTATCATACCATTTTATTCCCTCTATTCTGCGCAGGCACCAGTTAATGAATGTCTGTAATTTATTAGTAATTGCCTTGGTTGTTCTCCATGTTTCCGCCCCATACAATAGTACTGATTTGACATTAGAATTAAAAATTTTTAGTTTTTTCTTTTAATTTCTTTTGACCTCCACAAATTCCCTAGTGCTATGAAAGCCCCTCTTGCCTTTTGTATTCTTATTTTAATATCTATCAGTTCCTCCATCTTCATCTACATTACTGCCTAAATAGGTGTACGACTCCACGTCTTGGAGTGGGGTGCCATTAAGAGAAACCACATTACTATTTGCCTGATTTATTCTCATTATCTTTGTCTTTCCTTTATGGATTTTCAGACCAAGCTGCTTTGATCTCGCATTAAGTATATTTAATTTATCTTGCATCTGATTCCGTGAATGGGACAGAAGAGCAATATCATCAGCGAAGTCCAGATCATCAAGCTGTTTTGTAGGGGTCCACTGAATTCCATTCTTGGTGTTAGCAGTTACTGTTTTCATAGTCCAGTCTATAGCCAGTAAAAATAAGAGAGGCGACAAAAGACATCCCTGTCGCACACCTGTTTTTATTTCAAATGCATATGTTAGCTTTCCCTCATGAAGAACTCGACATTTCATGTCTTTATATGTTGCCTTTACTAAGTTGATAAT